AACCCGCCGGCAGCAAAACCCCCCCCCCCATATTGGATTAAAACTGTCTCCAAAACCAGATGAATCCACATTTTAATTGTATCCTCCCTCTCTCCCAAAGCATGAGCAAGTGCTTTCCAAAGCGCCCAAGGCATTTTCCCCTCTTGTCATTTACAGGGACAAATATTGGGATGTTCATGCTGAGTTTGAGCCATCCAAGTCAACCTTGGACTGCAGAAAGAAGAGCCCCCAACTGTTAGAGGCCTCAAATGCCATTTAGAATATATTTCTTTAAAAAACAGGCCTAATTTGCCAAAGATTTAGTTGCATGATGATTTTCAGATTAAATTTTAAGTTGTGTTCAGATACAAGGGCATGGCCTGGGCCTCACGCTCTGCCTCTGGTACAGCTGGAGAGAGGAGCACGCCCAGCCATGAAAGCAGGAGCTGCTGCTAAGCTCCTTGTCATCTCAAGCCCGGCTCAAGAAGCACCAGCACAACGGCAGCTCTTTCGGATGTTTCCCCCTTCACATTGCAGTCCAGCCTGACTCTGATTAATTGATGGAGTCTGCTGAAAACCCCAGCCTTAGCTACTCTGGCTGCGTTTCCCCCTTCACATTGCAGTCCAGCCTGACTCCGATTAATTGATGGAGTCTGCTGAAACCCCAGCCTTAGCTACTCTGGCTGTTCTCTAGCAGCACAGCTGTCTTCCACTCGCACTTGAGAGACTTCATATTTACCAAGTATTAATTAGATGAATGTGAAGCACCATTTTTCCAGGCAGGGGAAATGATCAGCTCTCTCTCTCTCCGCCCTGTAACAAGCTCATACTGGGATGAGTCTGAAAAGGGAGCAGGTAAAAGTGGTTCCTTCTTGCTCCGCACATCTGCCACTTTTCATATTTCACTGCTTTTGCTGCCACCGTTGACGAGCAATTCATTCTTGCTAGACCCAAAAAGGCAAGAGCCTTGTGGAAGAAGGAGCTGGAGTCTCTCCCTTCCCAAATTACCACTGCAGCTGGTCTCTGAGACCAGCTGGACAGTCAGATCCACCAAATGGAAAGAGCTGCTGTCTTGGAGGGCTCCTCTGAGGGCCAGGAGCTGCTGAACAAGTGACTTGTCCAGTAGAGCA